TCACTTGCTCCTTGAAGATACATAGGTTAAACCCTCCGGGGAACACAGACCCCGGCAAAGGTTTCCGAACCGTTCTTACGACCAAAGTGTAATATTAACGTGTTTAAAGTGCAACAAGGAGTTTCCAATGCCATTTCTAAATGATTGATGGATGTTTATATTAATTCTTAGAACCAGGGTAGCCTATGAAATAGTCCGCGTGATGGAGCAATCCTCCTCGTCACGCCCCAGCCGCCGCAATAGGCGACATTCCGGGCGTCGAGAGATGATCTCCGGCCACCGTAAGCGCGGGTCTGCGGTCGGCGAGTAAGGGCAGATCGCCGCCCGACCAGGCCCGAGCGTACGGCGCGTAGCATTCCGCGCGCGCCTCAAAGAGCCAATAGACCACCACAGACGGGGCCCTATAGGGCTGATGTTCAGCCGGGGTTGCGGGGTAAGCGCAGTGAGCCACCGCGACCTCGGCCCAGACCAGGAGAAGGAACAGGGGGGTTTTTAGTCAGTAAGAGTCTGACACTTCCTCTCGCCCGGCCCTGGGCGGGAGAAGTCATTTGATGATTTTCCCCTCACAAAAAAAAGCCTATGAAATAGTATCCCTCACTAGCGACCCGACTCCTCTTTGTACAGGTGTAATGCTAATACTAGATGTCTCCACTATTTAGTGGATGTCATTATACCAATATAAACTTTACTCTTCAATCACTGTATCTATTTAAAAACCACATCAAAATCCGTTGCGTAGTTTTAATGATTTAAGCTTACATAAGGATATAGGGACAGAGAAAGCTACTTTGTTTTATACTAGGTTGTAATTACATGGAGCATGAGGACCTACATCACATGATTACTAGCGTTAAGTCGCTGCTCCTGTAATATTTCTATATGCATAACTTCTGGCATGTAGAATGAGTTAAGTAAAAGTTTTAAAGGAGAATATATATACTAAAAAGCAATCTATTCATTGATATATACAACAGTAGACATAAGTTGTAACACTTAGGTAATGAATAGTAATGAGATAACAACATAATGATGACTATATTTGTGTATGTACGTTTGTGTCGATGACACCATTTTCAGCCTTTTGTGCTACGTAGGTACTCTTCATAAGATCTTCGATCAGTGCAAGTAAATAAGACTTCTGAATAGTTAGTTGTATTAATAACATTAGTACCTAATTAGTATTTGTTGGTAATTGCATAGATCCCTGTAATTACTAAATATTTTTAAACTTGGGAAAACTGTGTCGGCATTTGAAAAGATATGTTTATCGCCTTAACCTAATTTGGAGACCTGTAAGACTAATGGCACGATAACTAAAAATCTAAACAGGTAAATAACAAAAGACGGTCTACTGGAGAGATACCACAGATGAACAGAAATTCGGCGTGAAACAATCGTGTGTTTTGTTTTGCCGTATGAATGTGAGGAGTATTACCAGAGAACCAATCCTCTCCAATCCCTGAATCTTCTAAACGAACAACATTCCCAAAAGGCCAGCAACTGCCTTGTAACTTCTCGCGTGATTTAGGTGTACATAAGCGGCAAAAATGCTTACCATCAGGTAATGCGTCTGCTCCTTTGTCGCAGTATCTCACGACAAAAGGATACCTAACAATAAAGGTCCCAAAATACACCCCGGGAAACACCTGTAGTTATTACACAATTCTTTTCTATGATTATTTTAAAGTGTACGATCAATGTTTTTATTTAGTGTGTAACTTCTTCGTAAATAAAATGTTTCAAGTGGTTTTACAATGCAAACCACTTGAATATCATTTTGCAGTTCATATCAAAAGTGCGTACGCTTTCAAACGCATTAGATAGATCACAAATAACTTCTCTATTTATGTTAGAAGTTAGAATGAAACGTTAAGTAATAGGTTTTCTATTTTATTTTATTGTTGAAAGAGAACTTCTCTTAAAAGGTCTAATTTGGTTGGCAGGGTAGCTGGCTGCTGTCCAAAGTGTCGTGGGTTCCACAAATTGATGTTCCTGGTGTATGTGAAATTATGTTTGTTAACGCAACCATGACACAGGAGAAAATCCTAGTGAAGACAACGTTTAAAACATATAAACTAATACTATCTACGCACTGAAACCAAAAAAATATTATAAATGCGAAAGTAAGTCTGTCTGTCTTCTCTTTACGTCTAAACTACTGAACCTATTTGTGTGAAATTTGATACATACAAAGTTTGGAGCTCGAGAAAGGACATAGGATAGTTTTTAAACCAAAAATCCGCAGTTAGTCTCTATTCCACGCGAGCAAAGTCGCGGGCAAAAGCTAGTTATAGTACCTATATTTAATAGTATTAACTGAACAAACAAACAAAACAACAATAGACGTTTATGTTACGCATAATTACGTGATAATATGCAGACATTTTTTTTTAAACAATCGATAAATGGAAAGTGCGAAGGTCAACAAAATTGTGTAGATATAGGTACAAGTATAAATGCATAAGTACTTGTTGTTATAATGTGTGAAGAACTGTCACCCAATTGTGGCTAAATGTCACATGTTATCCAAGATGCAGTCATTCTACAATAATGTGAGGACTTTATTATGAAAACATTGATACATTTCTATTTATGGACTATTTAAATATAAGTTACCTATACTTGGTGCTTGCTGTAGGTACGTTTAAATAATGAATAACAATTTGTATTCCGTAGGAATTGTCATTTTTCCTGGTATCAGTATCCTGCGGCAAATGTACACTTCAGACTTTTTAATGCAGACTTTTTTATGTTAGGTATTCGAGACAAACGAGCCGTCAAATTACTTGACGGTGAGTGATCGAAGTCCCATAGACAAGAGGAGGCACAGACGCTTTATCGAAGTTTTAAGAAGGAGTACACTTGTTTCTTGTAGGTTTAAAGGTTGCATCTGATCGAAAACACCGATGCTGAAAATGTCTGTTTGAAATAGAAAGTTTCACGAAAAAAATCATAGAATTACTGTCTATGCTGACTTTTATGTAGCTAGTTTTAGCTACCTATTTCAAGATCATGAATCGCAAATCAATAACCATGGAAACTAAAGGTTCCGATCCTTAATGTTGCGTTCACTCCTATATATACTTGAAGATATCTATAGTTTAGACCTATAGGTACTTGAAGTCTGTTTCAAACATAAATATCCCTAGAAAACAATTATTTATATAAAGTTGTTTGAGCCATTTTGTTCACGAGTAGTTCCGATTATCCAGACATTGCGGTCACCGACAGATTCACAACGACTGATGAATCACAATTAGCATTTGATGGGCATTTGTTTATTAACTTATTGTTGGTATACATACCTACCATACAACTATCGCCATTACATTTTGTTTTAAAATAAAACCTTTATCATTTACCTTCTTTATTCAAATTAGTACCTACTTATGTAATTATATTTTTTTAATCTTGTAGGTAAAAATCTGGTCAATGTTGGATCTGTCATAGTCAAATTGTTGACATACTTTTTTGTGAGGTAAATTTCATCAAATGACTTCACCCGCCCAGGGTACAGCAAGAGGGTGTGTCAGACTCTTAATCCAGGAAGGGTTTTTAGTCAGTAAGAGCCCTTACCCTGCTCTGGGCCGAGGTCGCCGTGTCTTATTGCGCTTGCCCCGCTATCCCAGCTGAAAATTGTTGATATAACTAGGTATGCCTATTTGATTCCATATCTTTTGAGGTTGCAGACAAAATCTAGATCCTAGATTGAGAGAAACCTAGAACTAGGTAAATATAAATAAATATATGAAAAGGTAAGCTATGTTATTATTCATCAATTACCTAGACTGTATAGCGTTATAGTGCAGCCTAGCTATCTGACTCATAAACTTGACATTTGACCTCCATACTGAATAAAAAACATTATGTCAATCTGTCTTCTGTGAAGTGATTTAGGTACACTGCGCATAGCCTCAAGGAAGGTCCATATGACGACCGCGAATAAAATCATTCATTAAAAACAACAACAACATGGCAATCTCAATAAGAATGTCACACAAACCCACATGACATAAGTTGTTTATTTATGACGAATAATATGACATCATCGTGTTATCACCTGACCAATTTAAATTGATACCTCTCGGTCCTCTCATAATCGTTTATTAGTACAAATAGAGGTTATAACGGGAATTGACAGCGGCCACTTAAAATGGCCGCCGTATAAGTGCATTTCTAAATTTAAACCAAGGCGATGATGTCAGGTGCGTTCTGCCTAGTTTTTGTTGCTAACTTATTATATGGAACGCTCTGTCTTAAATGCGTATTTTTGGGTAATTGAAAGCAATAATGGCGTTTGTTGTTTCTGATTTCTTATTTAGATGTGTGTACGTGTTCAATGTTCGTGTAGGTCCGTAATATTTGGGCCAGAGATAAGGATTTTTTTATCCGTAGATTATATAATGGATTATAGATAAAAAGTTGTTTTTCTTTGTTTTTTTTTCTTGTTATCAAGATACGACTCCGGCTATTCCTAACCTTCGTCGATGTCATTCGGTACAAGGAATTCATTTTCGATTAAAGCAATGACGTAAGTGTCGTCCACCTTGCTGATGCTGAGTCAGGGAGTAAACAGCAAGAAAACAAAGTAATAAATAAAAATCTTTATTATATACATTAAATTATATTGTTGAAAACAATTTGTAATCGTAATAAAACTTCGGTTATTGAAGCACTCTATGATTTGTCTTGTATGCCTGTTTGAAGACATTCTAACTTTATCATAAATACATAAAGAGTGTCTATCAGCCTTAGAAATGTTCAGATCTTGCTCTCAACGAGGCCAGGCATGGAATCTCTAGGAATGTATGTGTAATTACATAATATATGCCCACGAGTCGCATAATGTCATATCCGGGGGTTTAGTCGTGCATTCTGTTAAAAGTTAGAAAGCATTTCTGTTCATCAATCGTAGGAATCATTAATGTTACTTAAACACAAAGTAACGAGTAAAATACAATGGCAATGTACTATGTGTGCGTCGCAGTGCTAAGCGCCCTCTAGTGGTGCTCGTCCAGCTCCTGCTCCTGCTCCTCGTCAAACTCCGCGTCCTCGTCGGCGGTGGCCTCCTGGTACTGTTGGTACTCGGAGACCAGATCGTTCATGTTGCTCTCCGCCTCGGTGAACTCCATCTCGTCCATACCCTCGCCAGTGTACCAATGCAAGAAAGCCTTGCGCCTGAACATAGCGGTGAACTGTTCCGAGATGCGCTTGAACAGCTCCTGGATGGCGGTCGAGTTGCCGATGAAGGTGGCGGCCATCTTGAGACCGCGGGGCGGGATGTCACACACGGCGGTCTTCACGTTGTTGGGGATCCATTCGACGAAGTATGACGAGTTCTTGTTCTGGATGTTGAGCATCTGCTCGTCAACCTCCTTCATGGACATGCGACCACGGAAGATGGCGGCCACGGTGAGGTAGCGGCCGTGGCGCGGGTCGCAGGCCGCCATCATGTTCTTGGCGTCGAACATCTGTTGCGTGAGCTCGGGTACGGTGAGGGCGCGGTATTGTCTGCTTCCGCGGGAGGTGAGGGGAGCGAATCCGGGCATGAAGAAGTGGAGACGGGGGAAGGGAACCATGTTGACGGCAAGTTTGCGGAGATCAGCGTTCAACTGACCGGGGAACCTGAGGCAGGTGGTAACACCGGACATTGTGAGGGAGACCAAGTGGTTGAGATCACCGTAGGTGGGAGTGGACAGTTTCAGTGTGCGGAAGCAGATGTCATATAGGGCCTCGTTGTCGATACAGTAGGTTTCGTCTGTGTTTTCTACGAGCTGGTGGACTGAGAGAGTCGCATTGTAGGGTTCGACGACGGTGTCTGATACTTTGGGTGAGGGGACGACTGAGTATGTGTTCATGATTCTGTCAGGGTATTCTTCTCGGATCTTTGAGATGAGGAGTGTACCCATACCGGAACCGGTACCACCGCCAAGTGAGTGTGTGAGCTGGAATCCTTGTAGGCAATCGCATGATTCTGATTCTTTGCGGACAACGTCCAAAACTGAGTCGACTAGTTCAGCGCCCTCGGTGTAGTGTCCCTTGGCCCAGTTGTTACCGGCACCGGACTGTCCGAACACGAAGTTGTCCGGTCGGAAGATCTGTCCGAAGGGTCCCGAGCGCACTGAGTCCATGGTACCGGGCTCGAGGTCGACCAGGATGGCGCGGGGCACGTACTTGCCGCCGGAGGCCTCATTGTAGTATACGTTGATGCGCTCCAGCTGCAGGTCGGAGTCGCCATGGTAAGCGCCGGTGGGGTCGATGCCGTGCTCGTCCGAGATGATCTCCCAGAACTGGAACAAAAGTAAACCGTTAGCGGAACGAAAGCAGTGGTGTTGTGAACGCGATGTAGAATGCAGTCAATTAAGATGCCTACACGAAAGCTCTTGGCGCACTATTTGTAAGAATTGTAAGTGCGCCGGCGTTACTTTCCAACCGGTTCTGTGTCGCGGCACAACATCTCGGGAGAGTGCTGTCCCTAGCGAGGTGCAATCGAGTTCCATTGGACACTCGCGATTCTATTCAAATGTACTTTAGGTTATAAAGCTCAATGAACCGTCGTAAAAGGTAGACAGGATACATAATACATCATTAATGAACGTTCAGCTTCGGGAAGGGTTACGCAAGACAATGGCGTGAGTTATGACAGCGGTACAATGCCTCGGCTCGCCGACGGCCGACGCCCACGTCCTGCCGTATTTGGTTTATCTCGCCGTATAAGCGGAGAACGTCTCGAACGACATTCAATTTTTCGATGCCTCTTGAAATCTGCGACCTGATTTCAGGGCTGGCGGCCATATGGTCGCCGAAATTTCGCAATGAAACAATTACTGCTTGTTTATTTTCGAGAATAAAGTACCTTTTATCGCCGTAGCTAGCGGATGTGTTCAATTAACTGACGTAATCGCCACGCCTGCCAATTTGGTGATCAGAAGTCGGAACCGATTTTTAAGAGTCGAAAAATTGCCTCGCGATATCATCAGGACTTAGCAAGTCACAAAGCTCACGGCGTTGTAAATCAATTTGTGTACGCTTACGTAATTTGTTAGACTGCTGGTGAAAATACTTAGCGATACAAGGCTGTAGTTGTCGTGTTGTTAGAACATTAACATTCAGCGGCGTGTGCGCCTCGATCCTGGTGATGTCATCCGCGAGTGGGCACAACTCGACATGTACATATATGGTAATATGACTAACATGGCTGCCTTTTTGGTTCAGGGTTTAACTTCGACTCTTGTTTATTTAGTGTGAGTGTTTAAATTAACTCGAGTCCTTATGAGGCGCTCGGTATTTTTAGAACGAATCGATTATGATTTTTTGGTTCAGATGAGTTCTTTAGCATTTCCAAATTGAGATCAGCGAATTGATTTTATATGGTCATATCATCATTATCTTCTAAATAATTTATGATTCCATTAATGGTTTTATTAAATACTTTATTAGTTTTTTGATTACACTTTTACCATAAGAGCAAAGAGAAACGATTCCAAATCTACCAAATTACATTTTAAAAGATACACTCGTGCAGATTATGGCAAAAAATCTTAGCTCTGCAGTACATTTCAATTTATCATGACTTTCATAGATGACATTGTAATGATTTTTAATAACAGCGAAAAGTGAAAGGCTGTAAGAGCTGCTTTCTTAGTAACTAGATAGAGCAGGCAAGTTGAAAGTATCGTGTGAACAAACGAAGGGAAACTATGGCGTCCGTGTAATGGTTCTATGCTCGTAATACTATTACCATTGTGTTTGATTTCACCTTCCACCCGTTCTCAATATGTCTGACTTTCGAAGATGACGTGGTCCAAGCATCTTTTGTTACACCGCATAGAACTCAATTTCCATTAAGTTTTGCTACATTGGCACTATGGATTTAATGTTCACTTCAATTTATATTCGGTATCGAATGCGTAGCAATCAATTTTAGACCTTGTGAATTTAGGAGTTCATTGCTCCAGAATTTGCTACAGTCTGTCGTGCGTTTGGCTTTTCTGTAATCTTGAGTTTCCTGCAGTTAATCCCTCTGAGATATACATGGTATTATGGAGTAACGGGACTCCGCGCATGCACCAAGTCATGGCGAACTACGCCTATGGTAGTTATTTATAAGTGGGCAACGACCGACAGCTGGCAGGTCATTCAACCCTGCAATCTCTCTTCTTGCCAAACGCTTGATAAGATAACAACTCACTTAGATACAATTACGAATGAGAAAAGCCAGATCTTAATGGACATCTTAAACTCTTTAGGCTCAATTGATCGTGTTTTATTGATTGCATTTTATAGTTCCTGTAAACATACAGTTTTGTTCTCTCGTAAATTTCAATTTGGTCGTGAAAACGTTTTGTTAATGCAGTTTTATATTTCTTCGTTTATATCGTCTAATATTTTTTCCGTATTATGGTATTTTATTTTATTTTAACTGTTGTTTCTAAAAGGTCATATTGATTCAAATCAATCACGGTTTAAATAGTATACAATACGAGTAGGTACCTACTACTATGCTTATAAAAATGTTGAGGTCATCAGCAATTTTCTCGGGCAGTGAACGGAATAAATTATTCGCTAGTCTGTCTGATTTTTCAAACCGAACTAGACTCAGTTCTATAGGGATGAGTAATATTTTACTCATTTGTTTTGCCAACAAACTTTTTGCCCAGACAAGATTCAAGGCTTATGATACACGTCATTAGTTGCTAGGCAATGATGTCATATACTATGTACAAGGATAAAAAATATACAACATACCTATTTTGAGGTAACTATGACAAAATTAAATTGGAATTTCCTTTTACATCTACAACAATTACATTGTAAAATATTTACAATATGGCTACTCTTCATAATTAAGCTGTTAACACAGCTGTTATAAATATAACTATAGTTATATCTGACTGGCATTCAAATACTCAAAGTGCATGAATCATTTTCTGAGTAACAAATGTTTTAAGACATAAATAGTCATGAGCTGGCTCAATCAATAACAATCCGAGTTACAATATCGGAACTCTTTGGTGTAATCCATCTTTAGCTTATGAAAGGTACTGGCTGATGAATACGTTCCAATTTTAAAATTTCTTTTTGATGTTGGTATTACTTTGTTGATTTTCGTATTTTGAGACTTGAGAGATTTATTTCATCTTGTTTTTGGTTTCGAAATAAAAAAGATGCGTTGCCACTGCATTCAATTAAAATGTTTCTTTGGTGAGTAAAATGCTAAAAGAGTCTTCAGTGTTTCTCAGAAAATAAGTAATTTGGACCACGAGAACGTCCTACGCTTAGTTACTCAGTATTATGATACCAATTATTAACATGAATGTTTCCAAAAAATAGACACGAAATATTAGAAGCTTCGCTGGAGCGTAGACAATAAAATTTACTGTTAAAATTCGATCCGGAATCGTTTCGTCTTACATTTTCTTGATTGGATTGAAAACGTAAAAGATTGATGACTTTTAATTGACCTCAATTTGTAACAATCGGATTTTTCTTCTGGCTTTAATGCCGACACACCTTAAGCATAACATCATGCCCTTTTTAAATGATTAAAATTGTAAGATTTTTATGAATAAGCTACATTAAAAACCTCTACATCTTTGCTTATCTGATACTAAATCGAAAAAATAAACAAATAGTTCTTTTTTCAAAAAGTTTGAACAAACATAGTTTATGGTTTTCGTCCTCTTATGTTCAGATTGCCAATATTTTCTTAACAATTTGGCACAGAATGACCAAATAAGGCAGACATATCCATTAGAATACTGTTGTTTCGAACTAGTCAAATTCAATAACTTTGAAATTTGTATGAAATACTGAGTTATGACTTCATAGTATTTTTGCGCCAAATAGCGTACTTACTTATTTTTTTAAAATTAGCTAAAAATGTCGAAAATTTAAAGAATCGAATTAGCTAAACGTATCGATAAATAATAAAATAGCCAAAAATAACTATACTTTTATTCATCGATTGATCGATACACTAAGTTTTAAATTTTTTTTTAGCTAATTATTAAGAATTAAGTATGCTTTTTGACGCAAAAATGTTATGACGTCATAACTTTTTCATACAAATTTCATAGAAAAGAATCGTTTTTGACGTTTGGATAAAAGTATTGAATTTGACTAGCTGGAAACTACCGCATTGTGGATTAGTAGGTATAAAGTAGAATTCATAAAAATAGACACGAAATCTTATAACATTTCAATCTTTATTCAACACACAATAGGTGCGCGAACGCCGGCGTTTGCTCGGGCTTGATGAGATGGAGGCGTTGGAGCGGCATATTACAATATCAAGATATTCACACAGCACTTATAAGTAGTTTCACCACACTGTTTGATAAGAAAGTATTATAATTACAGGTAATTTGCAAGCTAAGTGGCTTAGCTAGTTGTCTGAGTAATGTCCGCATTATCGGGCAAAGACAGCCGCTATTTGGGCCGGCTATGTACATTGATACGGCTGCCTTCTTTATTTAAATCTACTATATATAATTCTAGTACGCACAAAATTTTCAGCCAGTATTTTCCGATCGTGTACATACTTAAGAATATACACGACCTAAATCATACCAATATGTCTGCTATTCTTTCATGCAAAAAACTAATAATAAGAGGTAATGCTCTGGACCATCACAGAGGCTGCTCTTTATCAACAAACTACGCGAGCGAAGTCGCAGGCAGAAGCTAGTATAGACAATATTATTGCCATAGCTACAAATCTTGCTACGATTATTCGAATATTCAACAACAATATCCCAAGAAAGTTCATAAAATGATTGTGAATCGTCTTTTATAACATTATATTATCGTGAGCCGGATACAAGAAATTGTGAAAGGAGGTCTTATTACAAGCTGTCAGATCATCTGTCAAATATAAATAAAAAATACTCCTTTTTTATTACATTCATAAAGACGGATTTATGATTGCTAATCAAGTCTGTTTCAACCCAAACAAGTATTTATTATTAAGATTAATGCAGAAGCTATTAGAATCTAAACCAGTTTGAGTAAAACCTTCATACTTGGACCAATGATATTGTACCACATACGGCTGTATGACTTAAACGCCTTTGCCTGTTTAAGAATGTCATTTAAATAAATATCTACGTGATTATTATGCTACGGACCTACTTTCTAGAAACTTGCTGTGCATTTGAGTTATCAGAATTTCGTAGAATCTTAGTACTTATGTACTTAGATAAAAATTCGCCGGCTTAGTAACATTTTCTCTTACGTAAAGATAATATTGTTTTATATTTGGCTTTAAATTATTGTGATCGTTTTCATGCCTTTGTCAGTTTGACCTATCGATAAATACAGCTAATCTAAATAATACACGTTTTTACAATAAATAGGTGCATAATTTTATTTTGAGGTCATGCGCGTAGGGGATGACACTTGCCCTCCTTACCGGTGCGTTCGAGCGTGAAATATTACCGTACTGTCATTGTCTATTCCCGAATTATGAACGGAGCTATGCAAGAACACAGCAGTTTACCGGTCGACCCAGATTCCTTATAATAAATTAACTAAACAATAGCATTTCTATGTTCATTATAACTTATTCAGCGGACTTACATTACATCGAGTACAATAATTCTAATTGTTTCTAGCGGATTATGTAGTAAAGACCGTTAACAACGGTTAACTTGCCCCAAATCTAGAATGAAAACAAGAGTCTGGAACATACCTTAGCTCCAATCTGGTTACCGCACTGGCCGGCCTGGATGTGCACGATTTCCCTCATATTTGATTATTAAAAAATACTTTGTAATAAATAACTTAAACACTATACGCGGCTCTCGCACTACACAACTCGCAGATTTGATCAGCCGGCCGGCCCGGTGGGGATTTTTGAGGCACGCTTCGCCTCCGCGCTGCGGCCGGATCGCGGCCTGTGATTGGTGGATCGCAGCCGCATGTTGCCAACTTCACGGCACGCGAGACGCTTATCAATTTGAAAATGGAATCATCCTACAATTCTATGTATGGATATTGTCGCGAATGTATTGATGTTCGTGTGTTTAGACACGTCTGTTTCTTGTTTAAGATAAAGGTGTGACCGCGCGGCGTTTCAAACTTTTTATTTTTATTTTTGGTTCCGTTTGACATGATATCGTGTTGGGGTGTGATCACGCGTGTTGCCGGGATAGTTTCGCGATAGTTTGGAGTGCGTGTGGCGCACCCTTTGTTTACGGGTTACAACTCCTAAGCACGTAAGCTGTTTGTTCGATAATGCCGGTCGACGACGTGTAACTAGGCGTGAATCACACGTAGGTACTCGGATTCTTTCCCTAAAATCAATTCATCAACATAATATAACTTAGGGTTTTTTTTGGAAGGCGGGTAATAATCTAATTAGTTACTTCTCAAGCCCAAGATGAGGCGATAGGGAGTGTCATAGTTTTACTGACTAAAAACTAAGTTCCTTTTTCAGCTCCAGGTCCTGGCCGCGGTCAGCCGGGGTTGCGGGGTAAGCGCAATGAGGCACCGCGACCTCGGCCTAGAGAGAGCTAGAGGTTTTTAGTCAGTAAGAGTCTGACACTTCCTCCCGCCCGGCTCTGGGCGGGAGAAGTCATTTGATGATTGATTTTCCCCTCACAAAAAAAAGTCCAGGCCGCGGTATCTTATTAGTATTGATCTGATTATATATCTATATCATAATAGTAACGGAAAATCGCTCTTTCCTATTAGATACTTAGGGAAAAAAAGAATAATAGACCAAATTTTATTATAAATGTCCTGTTAAACATGTTTTATAAATGAGGTCGCATTCTACCTACAGCGTGGGCCCTCGGATACATGACATCGATTATTTATTTATATCAACATCTCTATCTACTTATTAATATAAGTAATGTTTTTAATGCATTTAGTCGTATCTTAAGTGATTAGTGGTTTCTTTATTTTTAATTGAGATAACATTTTCTTATCGATTGTTGTATTTTATTACACAGAATACGCATTAATATGTATACCGGATTAGATCAATCAAATCAAATTTTTCTCTATGTAACTCAAAGTCAAAATCATTTATTTCAACTATTACTACTAGCCACTTTTGAACTTAACTAAGCTTAAAGATAAAATAATCACCCTGTCCGTCAGTCCTCTAGTGAAACTATTTGCTCGTTCCAAAGTGTAGATTCATCATCATCATCATCATCAGCCTATAAATGCCCACTGCTGAGCAAAGGCCTCTTCTCATACGGAGAAGGTTAGAGCATTAATCACCACGCTTGCTCAATGCGGGTTGGCAATTTCAAACTTATAATTAGAAATTATAAGTCCAGGTTTCCTCACGATGTTTACCTTCACCGTATGTCAGTGGTGTCTAAATAATCATAGAAAGTACATATAACTCGGAAAAAGTCACATTGGTACTTGCCAGGTTTCGAACCCGCACCCTCATGCATGAGAAGCGGGCGCCTTAACCTCCGGGCCACCACGACAATAAAAAGTGTAGATTCCTATGGGGTAAATTCCTTTGGATGTTCTTTCAGATATTTGTAGTGGAGAAGAAAATAACGAGGATAAAGCATGAGGTCTCAAGTCAGATTTGAAGGAGTTTGTTAAAATACTAAAACATATCCACGATATAACATTAAATTCTAACGCGATTAATTAAAAAAAGTAATTACCCAAAAAGGTTTATTTTTTGTATAAAATAGGTCGCCAACCGTGATGACGGTTTACCTGATGGTAAGCAATCGGCGCGGCCCATGGATACAGACAACATTAAAGGAGTTACGTTGGCCTTTTGGTAATTAGGGTTTCGGAGAGAGGCTCATTGCAATTCGGCTAGGATTCGGTAACCACACTCTCACGACGAAACACAGCGTAAGTTTTGTTTCACGCCCGTTTTTTCTAAGGCCGTGGTATCACGCCAGTCGAGTCGACACATTCGTGCCGAAGCATGGCCCTCCCACACTTAAACGTGATAAGACATTCGTGGCATTATTAAATAAATTCTTTTAGAATATTTCTTAAAGATTTACATGACAAATATAGTACCTACTACCACTTGTGTCCTTAGCATGTTTTACAACTACTGAACTCAAGGTGACATGACGTGGTTCAAACTTGAGAATGTCGCATAACATAATTACACTATTTCCTTCATCTATACTAATATTATAAAGAGGTATAATTTGTAAGTTTGTATGTAGGGATTAATCTTTGGAACAGATGGTCGGATTGCCAAAATTCTACAGTGTTCCTGAATGTTACAGGCTTATTATACTTCATTTGCGTTTTTTAGTCGAGCTATATAGATTCTGGTAATGAGATAGGAAATGCCGGCTTCATCTAGTTTTTTACATATAATTTTGTCGTGTAGAAGTGCTGTTTTATGACCTATTAACAAAAATAAATTCATTGTTTCACTGATCGATTTCGGCCACAGCGACTTAGCTCTGCTTATTGAGAGCTTCGCTGATGTGCTTTCAAGTGGCTGACAATTTTTACAGAGAATGTTCGAAAGTTAGAGAGAGAGAGATATATTGCTTTAAACACTGCTTTTTAAATAAAATCCCGGGATAGAAGAGTAGGTACATTACTTTTATACGCGTGCAAAGCTGTGGTTGAAAGCTTGTTTGGAATAAAAATACGAATTAGGTATATGTGAGCAATAGGTAATTAATCGTCTAAAGCGAGGTAATTAAAGGATTTTTTTTATAATGACTGTGTTTAGTAATAATTGGGTCAAACGACCTCTCTTGTTGTAAGTTGTATGTCAATATGTCAGATTTACTACGATTTTTTGTTTAGGTATATTATAGGCCAGCAAACGAGTAAACTGTTTACCTGATGGTAAGCAATCAGCGCCGCCCATGGACACCGGCAACAACCTTGCCGACCCTTTGGGCATTAGGGATTTGGAGATTTTGTGATTGGGGGAGGGGAAGAATTGGGCCTCCGGTAACCTCACTCACACGGCGAAATACAACGCTGTGGTTGTTTCACGCCGGTTTTCTGTAATACCACATCACTCCGGTCAAGCCAACCCATTCGTGCCTAAGCATGGCTCTCGATATAGATGTCGATGGCAAAGCAACCGGTCGCAGCGCAATATGGGTCGCGGGTTCGATTATGACCAAACGTTTTAAGCGTTCTTTTTTTAATAAAAACATTGCCCCACACCAGGGTTTTCTTCTGTGTCAAGGGTGCGTTTACAAACAAACAACTCCATATACACACAATTTGTGGATCACAAAAAGAGTTGTTCCGTGCGGGAATGTAAACTGCGACACGTTGAGAGGCGAGGCAGCCAGTTGCCCAGCCACCGTGCCAACCGTGCAGACTTGCTTGGACAATCAAAGAAAGTCTTTGTTTGATGGGAAGCTCTTTGTAATACTGGCCATGGACTGGATACTCTGGTGTGGCCGGCTTCATATAGTTTTTCACATATAAATTGACGTGTAAAGGTGCCGTTATAGCCTATTTGCACAAATAAATTCATTGTTTCATTGTGGTGGGCAGAATACAGTAGTCACCATTAATATCCTTCCCGTGGAAGATGGAGCTGGCTTAGCTGAGTGAGTACTCTCTGATAAAGCTGAACTTTTTAAACTGTGTCCTCCAACTCACCTGCGGAGCATGGATGTTATGGAGAACCTCTTTATACAGAGCCTCTTAGCCAAGAACAGATACAGACGGGGCGACGGGGCCCAATAGGGTCGGTTTTCAGCCGGGGTTGCGGGGTAAGCGCAATGAGGCACTGCGACCTCGGCCCAGAGCAGGAGAAGGAACAGGGGGTTTTTAGGTGTTCATTGGATGATTTTCCCCCGCCAAAAAAAGCCATAGAAGAAATCAGCAGTGGCTTGTCACATTTATTTCATGTTAAACTGCGGTATACGAGGATTTAGATTACCTGATGGTAAGTAATCCGCACCGCCTATACCATACTCGCCACCGCGCAAAATAACGGGACCTGAAGAGTTTGGCTTTAAAAGGAGTGATTATGAGTGATGCTTAAAAGGCGAGATGGTATCAGCAGATTTAATACAATTTGAATTTACATTATCATTTCATACGAACTGGTTATTATATTATGGATGTATAAAAGCTTAATCTTTTAAGTGCTATGCAACATGCAGATGTGCATAGTTAGTTTGGTAAATCTATACTAATATTATAAAGACGTAAAATTTGTTGTTTGTATGTAGGGGGTAATCTCTAGAACCGCTGGTCGGATTTCCAAAATTCTTCCACTGATAGATAGCTACAATGTTCCTGAGTGCTATAGGCTATAAAACATCACGCAACGATTAAATGAAGCTTAGCAGCGGGTGAAACCGTGCGAGAGTAGCTAGTAGTATATAAGTATCATTCACTTTTGAGTTAGTTTTATTATGTTATACATTGGCAAATGAACAGACGGATTACCCGATTGAACTTGAAGTCCTTGAACATCCTTTAGGGTAGGGCCCCGTAGGGCAGTGACCCTTTCAGATGTTAGGGGTTCTGTTAATACTTGAAATTTATCATGTGAATGAGGTTACTGGAAGCCTAATCTTTCCCCGCACCATTAACTACCCCCAATATTTTTTTTTTATTATTTAATAGGTCGTCAAACGATCAGACGGATTACCTGATGGTAAGCAATCAGCGCCGCCCATGGACACTCGCAATGGAGGAGTTACGAGTGCGTTGCCGACCTTTTAGGGATTAGGGATTTGGAGATTAAGGGATTTAGGAGGGATTGGGGGAGGGGAAGGATTAGGATTGGGCCTCCGGTAACCTCAC